GAGTGGGGAACCGTCTCTGAAGCATGTCCAGCACCTTGCAGCAGTTGCGCTGCGCTTTGTTTTTCAGCGGTCGTTTGAATGCCGCAACAGAGGTTGATCACAGCAATGGTCTACTCTTGCCTCAAGCTGGAGGTTTTCTGGACTGAAGTCTTCATGCATGTTCCTGGCTGAATTGTTCTCTCGAGCAAGTCGTAGCGATCACTGCTGCGGCCCTCTCTCTTTCTCACAGACCGACTATGTGTTTATAAAGTGTGTTCCTCAGCCCCCAGGCGGCGGCCCCACTCTTTAAAAGCGGCTTTAGAGGGGACTTCACAGCTCTGTTAATGGAAAGGTTTCGACTTTGTTTGGTGAGAGGAGCTTGTGGGGGTGAGTTTGCTGAAGTAATAGCCAGCCTCTGTTGGAGGGGGGCTGATGCAGCAGGGATTAGACCAGCCCCTACTTGAGAGCCTCCTTTACATCTCCTCTGTTTTCTTTGAGCAGGCTGTTTTTCTCTGCTAGAGTGGGCCAGGTAATCCCAGTAATGTTTGTGGAAATTAGAAGCAAGGAATTGCTAGCCACGTACACACTACAAAGTTTGGGGAATGACGACTACATTAAAATGTGAGAGTGAATCCCCCAAAATATTGTTCTGTATGTGTACGGAATACCAGAGTCACTCTAGAAATTCCAGTGGTCGACTTGATGATAACTATGGCAAATCTCACAGTTGTATGCAAGAAACCTGGAAGCCAACAGGTTTGGTATTAGCTGGTGTAAGCAGCTAAAGCAAAATTTGCAAATAAGTCCAGACACATGCCTATGTTTCTGTGATTTTCTAGCACCACACCTCAAATGAGCTGTCAGTGTCTAAAAGAGAATGATGTCACTGCATTAACAAGTTGTTTGCATAAGCAGCACTCTGAAGAAAGAGTGGCATCCATCTTTAGCAATAGTGTGTACATGGCCCCTGCTTCTCAAGACCCAGCAGAGTGGGTTCTTCTTATGGGATTCCACCAACCAGGGCAGTCTAAGAAGCAGCGGAGGGGTGGAGGGGGAGACCTGTGTTATTAAGAACATGAAGAGAAGTGAGAAAGGCAGAAACATGCAGTGCGAGGGGAGGAAGAGGGGTGTGATGTGGCTGAATGGAATTGTCTGAGGTGAGAGATGCAAACGGGTGTTGGAAGTTGGTCCTTTATGTATGCCCCATTGCCTCTAGCCTGTCTCCAGCAATGGAACAGGTTAACACCACTCCTCCAGGCCTGGCTTGCAGTGCACTGATTAAAAGGAGTGTGTAAATGTATGTATGTGTGTGTGTGTGTGTGTGTGTGTGAGCAAGAGCGGGTGGGTTGGGGTGGGGGGAGGAAGAGTGTAAATGGAATTTGTGCAGCAAACAGCTGGACTAGTTTATTTAAACACTGGCAGGCCATAGCGACTGACCCCAGATTGACTCGGAGAGAGGAGGAGCCGAGGTGGACTTTTATGACTTTTAGGTCGAGATGAGATGCTCGTATTTATAAAAATTGCCTTGAGGCATGCCAACATGTGAATTACTAATTACTTAAGTAAATGGATCTCTGGAGCAGACACTTATAATAAAGTTGGTTTCACCAGAGGGGTCTTATTGCTTGATTAGCTAGTTGAATTAAAGCAGCGTCTTCAAAAATGTAGTTTGTCAATGTACAAGTTACACATTATTTGAAATCGTTACGCAGTTGAGCTGTCATTTTGAAAAAAGTAGCTCATTACATTAGAAGCTAACAACTACATTGTTAAAGGAGAAATATAATGTATGCTATTTGAATTTATAATTTAAGTAGTATAATTTTTGAATGAAGAAACATCTCAATTAGGGTGACAGCATTAAACTTGAACAGATAAATGTATAGCTACAAAGCTAGAAAGCACATTAAAATACTTTTTTTTTAAAAAGAAGACCTAAAATTTCAAGCAGGGTCTCAAATCCTTTTTTTTTAGTTTGAAAACATCAATGAATATAACATTATGTATATTACTTAGTTTGATGTGTGTGCGCAATACAGTGTGAAAAAACAGAAATGTAGTGTTATGTCACAAAGTAACTTGTAACTGGAAAAGCTACAATGTTTTAAAAACAGCTGAGCTTCTGTCACACTACTGAAAATGTAGTTTGTAGCTATATTTATAGCTCGTTACTCCCAAAAACAGAGTTAGCACGATAGCTAAATTGATAATGCACTCTTACTTAATTTTAACTTAATTATCCTAAAACCATAACATATTTTATGCATTTTCTTTTAATGCATATTTTTCCTGGAGATTCCTGTAGAGCCACAGATGCAGATCCGAATCATCAGATCATTCTATTCCATCGGTATTACTGATATGCCTGTTTGTGGGTTTTTAATATACATGTAAATGTAGCTGAGTGTGTTGAAATGTGATTTCATGAGTGAATTCGGTCCTCCGTAGTCATGCATGCGCCCCCTCAAACAGTTTACATCTGAGAGAAAAGGAACGAGCAGACGAAGGGGGCATTTCTGAGAAAAATGACACACTTCATATGCATTTAGATAGACATACTGAAATATAACCTTTTGTATCTTCAATCCGGATCTTTCCAGCAACACTTATTAAATTATTCCCTAATTGGTCACGCAACAAAGGCAGCTGATGAAAAAGACAATTTCTTGCTTTTAATTGGCCATTTCACGTGCCGTTCGTGCTACACCTGTGCGTTTGTAATGAGAGTGGGATATTAGCGGAGGCCCTGGCAGACCCGACAGAGATCAGATCGACTGTCAGTGAAGTCTGGAATGAGCAATAGTGCTCCAACACATTACGAAACACACACACACTAGCAGAATGAGAAGAACCAAACTGCCCTCTATCAAGGTTCATTTGGCTTATAAACACTCTCATTTCAATCTTTTTTTCTTGTCCTTTTAGTGAAGCTCTGTATTTTTAACCCTCCTCTTTTTATCCTTCTTTGGAGGTGCCACTAGTGGCATTTTGCTTTAAAATAGCCCCCCATTGTCCCGAGCTAGACTGAATAGTTGGCTTCATTGTGTGCCTATGGGAAGTAGAAACTGAACAGGCCATAAACGCAGTCCTATAGCGCGGAGAGGTCGCGCAAAGGTGAACTTTTACTCCTAATGGAGGCTCCAGCTTTAGCCTGGCCCGTATGGCTCTCTGCTCCTTTTGATTGCCTTCTTAACCGTCAGCGCCAGGGCGTCCGCCTGGCTCACAGAACAGAGCATGACCATTCTTTCTCTTTTTCCTCACACTCATACACCCCCACCCTCACCCCCACCACCTCTCCATCCCCCTGCCTGGTATTGTGTAGCACTTGTCCTTTGTTCCAGATTTTGGCGCATCTGGCCTTAGATATAAGGAGGAACGAGAGAGGAAGCTTAAGATACCTTTAAAAAAAAAAAAGAAAGAACAGCCATTTCCACAATTTGAAAGAAAGCGAGTGGAAAAAAAGGCAGAGGGACAGCGAGTGAGCGAGGGAGGAAAATCCAAACGGCAGAGGTCAGCAGATAGACAACAGTACACCCCCCCATCCCCCCCCCCCCCCCCCCCCCCCCCTGACCCCAGCCTGAGATGAAGGCAGTAAAAGGAATGCCTAGTCTGAGACTCCCCCTGCTCTCCAGCTCACTGCTGGTGATAAAACTCCAGACATTCTCTCATTTGATGGTGCACTGCCATGTCAGTACATTCCTCCCCAATCTTTTTTTTTTTTTTCAGCCTTTAAGGTGATGCCATAGAGTGATATTGGTGATAAATATATGAGAAAGTTGTGTTCTCTGGTAAAATACATTTTAAGGAATAAAAAACAAGCTTTACAGCACAAGAGGCCATTCCCTACATACAGTAATATTACCATGGGTAAACACGAAGAGTACCTAAAAGTCACCTTAACCAAAATTAAAATTGAATACAATTTTTGAATAAAAAAAAATATTCTGAATAATATAGTTCATTATTCAAACTGTAGGTGATTTCTGGGTTAAAATAGGTTGGAATGATCCATTTTATAATTGAGAAGCAAGAAGCTTAGCAGATGCCTATGTGAAAATTTCTTTGTCCGTTAGTTCTGCTCTGTCTCTTTATTTCTCTCGCTCTCTCCCTCCACCCCAATCTCTCCTCCCTTGCTTTTCTCAGCCTGAAAAGAGGAGTGGAGCTATTGTTTCCTTAAAAGTCTACTAATTCCCCCCTCAAAGGATGAAATGGAAGTGTCCAACTGTGGTAACAGCAGGAGGACATAAATCAAGTTGGAACCCCTGAGCTTAGTCTCCTGGAGGTGACCAGGGTCACGGGGTCACTAGAGGGGATTTGGGCACAACAAGACCAGAGCACTCTGATGTATGGTGCAAGGAGGTTGTGGGTCAGAAGCTACAGGGGCCAGATATGTTTTTGTCACAAATGTAATGCACAATATGCAGAAATGCAGAGCAGCCTGCTTTTTTCAGCGAGGTAAAAAACAACAACTCCTCATTGAACCCACAGTTTCATTATTCTCCCTCTAGGGAGACACAAGGAAACAGAAAACATGACTTGTACTAGTGTTCTTTGACAATGCAACACTTTTTCTGTTAGTAAACATTTCCTAAACACGTTAATTCCTGGTGCATATCAACTGGGTTACATCTGGCATCAGAGTTTGAATTGCTCAGTGGTTTCAAATAAAGTTCATAGAAAAAAGGAAAAGGAGTCTCTTGAACTGCATAGATGGATAAAAACACCAGTGTCTTCAAAGTGCTTTTGTGCACTTCGCTTAGTAGGCAATATATATTAAGCCAGTGCACGTTTGTACAAGTCATAAGCTTTGTGAACATTTCTGTGTTATGGAACAACTCTCTGACACTCCCACTGGAGTACTAGAGGATTAGAGAGAAAAAAATCCCCCAATTACCCCTCTGATTAGTTATCTGGGCTGATCTGGACAGCAGCAGGCATGGACATGACTGTGTTTACAGAAAAAGACAGCAAAAACTCCAGTCACTTTTCCATCATATGTTGCATTATCTTGTTTTTTACAGGTTCATTAACGCAAGAAGAAGAATAGTGCAGCCCATGATCGACCAGTCCAACCGAGCAGGCAAGTCCCCCATAGTTTCTGTATTCAAGTCCTGCAGGCGAAAGCCCCCTGCAAGCCATGCACCCGGAGGCCCACCTGCCGGTAAATACTTAGCCCAGGCTGGATGTCAACAATGATTGACCACTAAAATCCATCCAATTAACCCAAAGCACTAATCATGCTGACTTGGGCGCTATATAACCCAGTGACAAAGAGAAGCGGGCAAACACATACGATGGATTAAAGTATTGAAACAGTAACTACAACTGTTTCCTCCTTATCCAACTCATTATCCTCCAAAAGTTAAGTGGAGAGCAGTTCGGCCAAGCAAAGAGGATATTCATAAGTATCTTTTTATTCTGAATTGGCTGTGTTTGCCTCCTAGTTCAGTTCTTCCTGTTAGTAAACAGTGCCCCTGGTGCATGGCTTGTTGTGGACTGCTGTAAAGTTTATTACCTGTAATAGGGTTCAGGGGGCAGGGTTGCATTAGGGACTCAGTAAAGTTCAAAGGCATTCATTGGGGTTGAGCTGTTGTTTTTGACCAAGTAACCCCCCAGCACACACACTTTCAATAGCGTGAACTCATGGTAAGTACATCTCAATTAGGTTGTGTGTGCGGAAAAATATATCACTTTGATTTTCCTTATATTTATTATTGAACAGTTTCACTAAAGTGCTGTCTAAAAATGTTTTCTGCATCTATAGGATATATGCTTAGTTCTTTGATCCTAGTCCTTAAGCTTCATTGAGCATGTTCTGTCAAGTGTTTTATCTCTCACAAAACCCAAAGAAACTGTGCGAAATGCCTCAGTCTGCATGTGGGCTAACAGATGATGTTTCTCCTGTGACTGAAACTTAATTAAAAGCACTAATTGACCACTGTTCATTTCCCCCACATTCCCTCACCATACCCTCCTGCAGTAAGTCAAGGAGCTCCCTACAACCCAGATGGTCAACCCATGGGAGGCTTCGTGATGGACGGCCAGCAGCACATGGGAATCAGACCACCTGGTAAGACCTTGGCGTGTCGTCTTCTCCTCTGACATCTCCCACCTTCCCACAAGCCCCCCATCACTACCTCCTTCTCAGACTGACTCTGAGACCCTTGGCTAGCACAGGTGTGGTCCAATGCATTATACCCCTTTGTCCCTTCATGTTTCCTTTCTTAGACTTTTGCTTTCTTATAACCATCTTCACAGAATTCGCTCTCCTCTCTGAATCTAATTCTGTTCCACCCTGTGCAACTGGTCACTGTTGCTAACCACTCATTCCCTCCCACCTCACCAGTTAAACTGCTGGATTTGTCCAAAGCCAGGCTTCCTTGCAACCTTTGAATGCATTATTTACTTGTATTTTTTTTTACTTATATTGTCTTATTTGTACTATATGGTGTTCTTCTCTTTTCTTTTAATAAACGGGGATTGTGCTTTTGTTTCTTGACCTCCTGTCTCTGAGCTGTTGTCTGTTTATTTTCTCATCTTTCGGCATCTTCTTCTTCGATTGTTTTCTCTCCTTCTAGGGCCTATGAGTGGGATGGGCATGAATATGGGCATGGAGGGACAGTGGCACTACATGTAACCTTCTAGTTAACCAATCGCAAAGCAATGGGGGAAGTAAGTACAAAAGCAGGGTCACCAAGCATCCACAATGTTTTCAGCAATTCATTTGATTTGCTTTTACGAAATGGGAGAGAAATGTCTCTTTTCCTCGAGACAACACGCTGCTTTTTCCTGCTTACCAATACTAATATTTCTTGTTCTTGTGGGTGACTAGCTTCAATCAGGAGTTTGTGTGCTTGTGTGTGTGTGTGATCTTTGTCATATTTTCTTACTTATGAAATTTTTGGGCCATGTTACTAAACTGTGCATAGAGTCATATAGAAAGGGGAAATGAGTGTGGGCGAGAAAGAGAGGAGAGAGGAGGAATAGCTGTGTGGGGAAAGAGGCGAATGGAGGGTGGGGGGATTGAGATTGGGGTTTTGGTCGGAGAAAGGGAGGGGTGTGTTACCATAGCAACAGACTGATTGGCAAAATGTAAGCAGTCTGCAGCAGTGCAAGGAGAGAAAAGTGCATGTCCCCAAAGTGTCATAAATCTGTCTCCCTACAGTTGATGCATGAGTTACATTTATACACCAACCTGCGAGGCAACGCACAAAGAATCGCTCTCTCACCCCACAGACAAATACATAGCCACACATTTGGAAATTATGTCAGTCTTGCCTGGAATGTTTTAGGTGGAGCTGCTTCTATCGACCCTGACTTGGTCCACTATTTTCTTGTCTGTCTTTCCTAATAGGATTACTAATGGCAAAGGCAGGGGAGATGAAGGAGTGCAAAATGGAGGTGTGCACAGCAGGGTACACAGCTTAGTCCAGCCTAATTGACTATATCCAAATTAAATATGCCATCACAAGCGGTGTGACAAATGGATTTGACTTATTCAGTATACAAAAATAGCGATCATTAATGCAGCCAAGCACAGAATGCCTCTGTTGTCAAAGATACTCTCTACTTGACTGTCTTTAACCGAGGGACATTGGCTGATAACACAAGCTCTGTGCTTTAAACGTCACGTCCACGCTGTGTGTGCATGTCTAAACACTGAGAGTGTTTCCCGGTGTCCAAATGGCTGCTTACAGCAGCTGCCGTAGTTCCCAGAAGACATGTGAGAAACCTGCTTTAAACAGCCTCAATTTGCTTGCCGAATTCTGTAATTGGGCCGCGTATGGAATCTTAGATGAGATGGGTTGAGGGGAAAAAGAAAGCGAGCGAGAGGGGGAAATGAGGAAAGAAAGGAGGCAGAGTGTGACAGAAATATGTCGCCATGGTGAAGAATGCCTGGTCTTTATTGCTTCATCACTGAAAATTCCTAGCTTGTCTAATTTAAATATTGTTACTATAGTTTCTAGGTCAATTAAATGTAAGTGATGTGTTTTATACTTCGCGACCAATTAAATTAATAGGTTATTACAAAAAAATGTTATCTTATTTGATTAAGAGACCAAGGCTTCATTATATTTTATAAGCAATTTTCATTAGTTGAGGAATTCTCCTCAAGGCGAGATTAAGCAGTTATTTGCTGGGAAGTCCAAAGACCTGAAATGAAGGTGTTCCAAGCAGTCACACTGCAACATTACTTAAAACCAAAGCCAATTAAATCTACTTAGCAAAGCGTTATGCTTTCTGCCCATGACGATTATAGAGCTTATAGCTCTCCGAAAACAATACACCTGTCAGCGTGGATAAAGCCTGGCTACTCAAGCAGAAGAGGGCGAGACTTTGATAAATGAGGGAACGACTGTTTTATGACCATTTCCCCCTGTACCATTCTTTGTGTTTCTTCAACAAAATTAGCCAAGGGTGGCCAAAAAATTTTTCATTTTAATTTCAAGACAATAGTGAACGCAGAGAGCATTAATTATGGGCATATGGACAAAAATGTTGCCCTCCCCGTCCAAAGCTGGTATGCTTTGGTGAGCTGGAAGCTCTGCTGGAGACTCCTTTGTCTGAAATTTAATTCCTCCCATTCATTAAGCAGAAGTTTGTTAACCTTTTGCAGGGTCAAGGTACCCATTTTTCTGCTCTGAACTTTTAGTTTTAGGGGGGAAAGGGTCTTCAGGGATTTGGCTCCTGTATTGTCTATGTCAAACATCCCCTGTTGATTTGGTCTCATGGCACCTCTGAAAATAGACAGGCAAGGAACTCAATGTATTGATTGACTTATTAAGTGAAAAACCACATTTGCAACGTGTGCCCTTTTCACGTGCGAGTATTGCTTTTCTGATAGAGTGGATGTTTTCCTTCCTCACTAAACAACGTGTACAAGGATTGAAATCAAATACAGCTGATGACCCCTCAAAAGCTTGGGTCAGGCCTTTAGTAGTAAATAACTGCAGGGGCATACAGATTACCACTCCACATGCTAGTGCAAAACACCAACCATTATATATGTCATTCTAAAGCTGAAACCTAAAGACCTATAATCAGAATAATAACAAAAGGGCTGTTTTAACTTGAGGTTGATTTGTTGCTTTGTAATGCCGCTGTCACAGGGTTAGTGGCCTTTCTGCTCGTGGCACGTGCACGCACCCAGGTGAGGCCTCTCAAGTGACGGCCTTTGTAAATTTTCACCTTTCGTCTCTAATTTAAGCACAATGGTGCCGTTTCTCTGAGGGGCTCTCAGAGCGAGCCACAGACCTTTGCTCATTGTGTTTAAAGTGAGATAAGTGAGGGGAGAACGTAGAATAAAGGCATGGCTTATTTTACCTCATTTGTCATTGTTGTGGCTTCCTCTGGCATAAAGACTTGGCCCGTGCTTAGGACAAACGGCAGTTCATTTCCACCTATATGTGCCATATAGTGTTAGACTTTACATTTGTATTATTTCAATAATACAACCAACATGTAATGAACATTTTAAGATACAGTAAAATTATTGGTGATTGTCCTCTAATTAAAAAAAGGTCAATGCCTATAATATAGGCACATCATAGTCACTGTTATCCAGTGGGGAGCCACTCAAATAGATTTCATCATAGCGTTGTTCTCTGAGATGAATATGAAATTAGCAAATTAAGCCTAACAACAGCTACATATCAGCTTTCTGGTGACCTTAGTGAAGGACAACCTTCCAGTTGACTAGTCGGGTATGACCGTGGCAGATTCCAGACCTGATGGATACAGCACTGAGTACAGATCCCTGGTGCATGCAGCAGCAAAGTGCTGTGTTCAGGCCAGTGAGTTAGTCCCTAGAGAGCCACCCTCTCCCAATACACAGATTCCTCTTCTAGTCTCTTCCCATTCATTACAGAGGACAGTCCTCCCTCGAAGGCTTCTCTTACAACCACATGACTTGTATGTTTTCTGGTGCTGTGATTGTAGAGTCAGATCTTTCTCGTTGAATAAAACAGTCGGCTTGATGACCTCCCCAACATAATATAGATAACGTTATGTCTGACTATTACAAATGCATCATCAATAATCACTGTGATGTTCTGCTTTTTCCCCCCTAGGACTACAAGGCATGCCAGGGGATTACCTGTCACACAGTGGCCCAGTGGGTATGGCTATGGGGCAACCAGGCTACAGCGCCTCCCAGATGCCCCACCACCCTGCTCAGTTGCGGCACGGCCCTCCCATGCGTTCCTACATCCCTGGACACCCCCACCACCCAGCGATGTTAATGCACGGAGGACCGCCACACCCTGCCATGCCCATGTCAGCCTCTAGCCCCCCTATGTTCAATCCAGGAGACCCTAACATGGGAGGACAATTCATGGACATCCATGCCCAGTAATTTACTAAAACGGATTCTTTAAATGACTGTGATGGACAGATGAGGAGCTGCGATTGGTTTTTCTGGGGCTTGTGAAGCACCGATTACATACTGACTTGCTACAGAGACTGAGGAGCTTGCATCTTGGCTATAGTTTCGGACCAAGAAAGAAGCAGATTTCTGTATACTATGGGACACTTTAAAAGGAGGTGCCCTTTGCTTAGACACAAAAAAGAAAGAGAGAGAGAGAGAGAGAGCAAGAGAGAAAGATTGAATTTATTACTATATCAGCCTCTAAAGGGGAGGGATGAGGACATACTGTATACTGTTGTAAAATTGCATTGGACTTTCATAAGAACTGGGAAAAAAGTATTGTAAATGCTATCGTATTGTTCTGCATATTATGCTGTTTCTAATAGATTTTTTTTTTAAAAAGGATGTGAACTTTTTTTCTTTCCACACTATGTGTGTGCCATCTCCATAGACTTTTGGCCTCCTCCATAAATCACTTTGCGTTTAAACGAGAAAAAAAATATATGTGAATAAATCAATAATTCATTGAATACATGTTTGCCAGGCCATTTTTTTTTTTGTCCTGTGGGAGGGCGGATTTTCCAAGACTCATCGTGGCCTTAGGAAGAAACTGAGTGAAATCCACCTGTCTGAGCCACATCCTTCTGCCTTTCAGGAGGTCTCCATTTTGCATTCCCAATTTATACATCATAATGGAACTGGCCCCAATCACCATTGGAACCAATGAAAATTATTTTCACTTACCTTTACTGGATGTGTGAGAAGCTGAATGTGAAGAACAAGCATGTGTGAATGACTTTGTGTGTGTGTGTGTGTGTGTGTGTGTGTGTGTGTGTGTGTGTGTGTGTGTGTGTGTGTGTGTGTGTGTGTGTGTGTGTGTGTGTGTGTGTGTGTGTGTGTGTGTGTGTGTGTGTGTGTGTGTGTGTGTGTGTGTGTGTGTAAAGCCAACCCATCACACTTTCAGAGTTTAAGTTATAAATGGGATTTGGGATTCATGCTTTTGATTAAGCAAACCTGTTTTTTTGGGGGGATATTGGTTTAACTTGTTGCTATCACTTGTTTGAATTTTGAAGAGTTTATGTATACATTGTAAATGAATAAATTTTGTGTAAAAAGAGGGGAACATGAGCTATTTTCATATATTTGAGGATTCCTGGCCTGGTTTGATTTGAGGAGTGTTTCATTTTTTGACGCTTTAGGTTTACTGAATGTAACCTTCAGGTTTTGTCTGGCTGTCACAAATACTACAAATCCTTTAAAAATGTTGGGCAATTTAATTTCCTTTTTTGTTTTCAGCTACAAAATAAGAGTGTAGTTTCCCTCAACATTAGATAACCCCCATTAGATAAGATTTTCAAAATGGTTCTATTATTCATTAGCCAATGTTCATTTTAATTTGATTGGCAGTTTCTCTTGTTAATTTTGATAACCACATTACATGCTTTTCCCACCCTTAGTAATGAATCCAAAATTAAACTACTTGATCTAATTCCCCAAACTATTACACTGAGGTGTTCACATTTGTGATATGAGTGAGACATAGACCTAGAGCTTATGTTGGTGCTTGAATCAAACTTTATGTGTCTATAGAAGCCACCTATATTTTCAGCCAGGGATCATAATTTGAGACTTTTATAGGCTAGGCCTAAAGGCTTATCCCATGTAAAATCTTTGGGTCACACTTTTCAGAGTAATTAAGTTCTGAGTAACACAAATGAACAACAAGTTATTATTTTATGCGTTGCATGTAATTTCAAATGTTGTTGTAATTAATTATAATAACACATGAGTTACAAGAACGCTGTAATGTAAAAGATGAACATGGTCTGAACATGAGGCTTGGCCTACAGGTTTATCTTTGGGTCACACCTTTCATTGCAGTGTGCACAGAGAAATTGAGTAACCCAAATTAACAGGAAGTTATTATTTAAGAGTTGCATGTAATTACACATTTTGTTGTAATTAATTATAATAACACAAGTTACAGGAACACTTTAATGTAAACTGTGAACATGGTCCGAGGCGCTAATGCACAAGGTGAGTCCAACTTTTTAAAGAAAGGGCAACATATATCACACGTCGTCAAGCAGAATGAAATTGACGACGTTTGTTTAAATACTGCACAATCAACTTTCGTACGTTTGCTAATGTGCAACAAATGTGCGGCCCGTTCGAAGAGCCGAGGCTAAAACGGGGGGCTAGATGAGGTGGAGGGACGGATAAAGGAAGAATTATCCCCCGTTTAGCATTAAAATTCATTTAGATAAAATTGCCACAAACACTTAAATGGAAAGATTAGTTCCCCCTCACGCCTTATTTCACTCACTCAATGGCTCCGTCAAGAGCGCTTGAAACGGCATTATCCAGGCGATGGCTGTTTCCAAGCTACCCGCTAAAACCGAGCGCTTAAATAATTCCAAATCAGACACAACTAATCGAAATGTATGTTTACGATGGATTCGACAAGACTACGTCAGGGAAATGTGCTATTTCCTTGTGGGAATTCTGACAAACTTACCCAGCTTGTACGGGTGGTGCCAGGTTAAACTACACTCCCATAATAAATCAATAAGTTCCCTTTCTCAAACCCGTCTTTCGGTTTTCAATCGCCATTGTATTTTTATTACCTTCTCTTTGCCGAATGTTTTGCTCTCAAGCAACGCGGAACACAGGCGATGGTTTAATGACACCGTTTCAGCTCCTCAGATTTGAATTCCTCAACCATTCGCCATTCAGTGCTCTGGAGACGGAGATAAATCCCATGTTTGACTGCCATCTTTAGGGGATCTGCACTGTAAAAAGTGAATATGGGTGTAAGTTGGATAACTAGAATTATTTGAGTCTATTTACTTCGTATTTCTGCTTTCCTAATCGTAATTGATTATTGTACACTCATTCAACTTGAACGCATAGAAATTCACAGACACTCAAATATCTCACTTTCACCCAAAGTATAATTTCCCTTTAAGGACCTCCGCGTCAGACGGTTTTTTTTTTCTGACGTCATGACGCACGAGCCTGACTGGAACTTCTGCTCAACCGCCATTTTCTTTTTCTCTCGCACTCGGATGAATAAGGTAGGTTGGAAGTTTGTTTTAATTAATATACTCGAATATGCAACTTTTGGACGTGTGTTTTAGTTGTTTATGAGTTAATTAATGTTGTTTGTGAACATGAATACTAACGCAATCGTAGGCCTACGATTGCGAAATAGCGTTAACGTTACTGAATATGTAACTTACACAGGATGTGGTATACTATTTACTCGTTTGTTTTATAAAAATGTGTTCATTTTGGATCTTGGAAGTATGTGTAATAAAATAATTTTAAAATTGATGCCTCCTTAACCGTCTGTGCCCGCGCGAGATATTGGAAATGCTTTGGGCGGGAAGTGCTCGGGGAGCGGGACTAAATGCTCGAATTTGAATTCCTGCAGTATAATATTGAGTTTGCTTTTAAAGTAATGTTTGTCTGTTCTTTTATTTGCCTTTGAAACGTTAGCTCTGATTTATTCATCGACTTTTTTTCGCCCAAAATGATGTTGAAAGTCTGTGATAAAAGTCATTGGGTGTGTCTCAATCAGCTCCCTAGTTCGGTAATCAGGGCACTGATCAGGGAGTCAGCACATTGACTGATTCCCTGATCAGTGCCCTGACTAAGTTACTGAACTAGGTAGCTGTGCTTAACGCTAGCTTCATTTGCCTAGCTCGAGGTGTTTCATCCGCCTAGCTCGAGGTGTTTCATGCAGAAAAAAAATGTCAGGGTTTTCTTTAGTAGAAAATTATGTTTTTTTTGTAGAAATAGTAGTATTTTCACAACTAATGAATTACTTGACCTGTAGCAAACCATTTTCTACCACTTAAGTTAAATACTACAACATTTTTCTCCCCTTAGGACCGAAAGCGTTTTACCTGTTTTACGACTGAGGACACACCTTGCTATAACGTTACATGGTAAGTCATTTCTATTAATTTAAGCAATTTCTAATTTCTTCTATAATTGATAATAGATTATATGAATTACTAATGTTGGATATGTTTGAATAAATTCCATCTAATGTTATTGACTTGCATTTTATCCTAATTAAGAATTTTCAAACTAAAATTGGCATTAACTCACCCTTATGACATCCCGAATGCATGTGCCTTTTTTTGATTTTCAGAAATATCTCTTTTGTTAGTTTATACAGTGTAAACCAATTTTGAAGCTCGAAATGATTATATGGCGTGACATGTATTGTGCATTTTTTCTTTTCCAGTTTAGCTTTCCAATAATATATCACCTTATAGTACTGCAAGAAAATACTGCACCTTAATAGAGAGCGTGATGGTGTTGCCAGGAACGTTTATATATTATACCGTATTTTCTGCACTATAAGGCGCACTTAAAAGCCTTTAATTTTCTCAAAAAAACGACAGTGCGCTTTATAATCCGGAGCGCCTTCTATATGGATGGAACACACGTTCACCAAGACGGGGAGACAGCGCCGGGCGACTTACGCCACTATCTGCCAATGGATCGTGGATGCCTGGGCTGATATATCAGTCTCAACTGTGATCCGAGCTTTCACGAAGGCAGGAATAATCTCTTTATTCAGCCAGCTCACATACCCGTATTTACTTCCGGTTGTTAAGAGGCTAAAAGCAGGTTTAAAACTTGTCCCGTTTAAGTCAACAGGGTGCAAATTTTAAAAAAGAGGATAACACGGTGTAGGCAACACTGGTTTTTGTCGTTGTTATCTGTACTGACTAGGCATGTGCCGGTATCAAATTTTCATGCTGCGATTAATTGATTGAGCTTTTATCACGGTATACGGTATTATCACGATATTTTAATTGCACAAGAGAAACAGATGGATTGGGGGTATCTAAAAAAACTTGCATCACAATGTGTAATTGTGATTGTCAAAACATTAATTTTATTTTTTAGTGACAACATGTTACAATGTTTACATGGTACAGTTACTGAGGCTACTGTTTGTATTATTGCTTAACACCATTTTCACGATTTCAATTAAATTCTTGGATTTAATTTCAATCTTGATTCAATATTGACTCATTTGGATAAATATTAGGTAGGCTACAGTAGATAGCCTGCATTTAAATTTTTCTCAAGAAAAAATATCTCACATAATGCTGTAAACATACAGAGAGAAATTAAATATAATGCATACAATATAAATATAATAATAATATAAATATAAAAATGTAATATGCCGTAATTTTCATTATAATAACAATTATATAATGACAAGTAAACATATATTAAAATATGTAATATAGTGCACATATTTAGCAAAATACTCCTCTCTATAGCTATTTTCTTATAGTCAACTAACATTAAATGGCTTTCCTGAGGTAAATGTAACGTTCTGTGACATAATTGTTCTCCTGCAGTTTTATTGACCTCTTTCCGTGGTTGAAAAACACTGATTGATCGAAAGTGCGTACCTTTCGGTGGGTTGTACTGTATCTTTAATAAAAAGTAACAGATGATCGGTTTACTTGAACTGAGGCGCGCGATCTGTCAC